TATATACACAATGGAATGTTGTTCAGCCATAAAAAAAAAAAAAAGAAATACTGTCATCTGTAGCAAAATGGATAGATCGAGAGGATATCATGTTAGGTGAAATAAGCCATTCACAGAAAGACAAATATAGTATATTCTCCCTCAAATGTGGGAACTAAAAGAACGACTCAACCTAAACACAGAATGGTGATTACTACAGGTTGCAAGAGATGGGGAAGACAGAAGGAGTTTAGATAATGGCTACCAAATCAGATTTGTTCCAGGAAATACTTTTTACCTTATCACGCCGGGTGGGGAGGTGGGATCATATTAATCCCGGAGACCTTTTCACAATATTAGGAGTTCCAAACCTCCTATTAAAATGTCAAACAAGGGGAAATGTTTTGGTTGATTGGTACCCATGAAATACATGTACTGAAATATCACACTGTAGCCCACAGATATATACAATTTATTATACAAAAAATTTAAACAAAAGGAAAATACTAATAAACTTGATTTTATGTATTTTCATCTATAATCTTCGGTCAAAGGCTTTCTCAGTCTAAACGTTCCTTCCATCTCAAATGCCCTCTTAATCGCAGCCTCTTCCGTCTCACGGTTGCCTTCTCTGTCTACACTGCTAGGTCCTCTTTTATCTTTCTACTTCCTTTTCATGGAAACCTTTGTCCTTGGACAACAAAAGACACCCTCCTGCGCACGCAGGCACCTTGCTTAATAGCAAGCTTCCAGTGCCTGCCTAACATATTAACAGCCCATAATAGTTCTTTGCTACCTGTTGCATACTAACTTGTAATATCATCCATAGTTGTTTCTGAAAAAAAAAAAAAAAAAAGGGAAAAAAAAAAAACCTGCAGAGTCCTCTTTTCAGGGTCCCTGAAAACTGGACAGAACAGGCTCCCACCAGCCCTGTAACTGGAACCTGCACCAATCAGCTCAGACTGACCACACAGTTACCATATGGTCCATTAGAATGCTAACTGACACAGCTCTGATGATGTTTCTACAGCCACCTTTGAACATCTATATACACATAAAGACATGATTTGTCAAGGTACACGCTCATGCTCGAAGGACATTTCCCACCCCTTTCCTTTCCACCTATCATGCTCTGTTGCTTTGTTTCACCCAGTTCTGCCCCAATTACCCTAACTCCATAAATTCCCAATCCTCTCTCTGTACAGGGGAGACTGATCTGGGTCTTGACACGACCTGTCTCTTCTCCTATTGGACTGTAGTAAAAATAAATGCTCTCTCTCAGAAAGTCAATCTAGTGTTTTTGTAACTAATCCGGTATGTGTGAGCAAGGGGCTCCATCTGATAACATCTCCTGTTTATTTTTCCCTTGGCTAATCCTCCGCCTGCAGCGCCAGCACCCCGGGTTCTAGTCCCAGTTGGGGCGTGGGTTCTGTCCCGGTTGCTCCTCTTCCAGTCCAGCTCTCTGCTGTGGCCCAGGAGGACAGTGGAGGATGGCCCAAGTGTGTGGGCCCTGTACCTGCATGGGAGACCAGGAGAAGCACCTGGCTCCTGACTTTGGTTCAGCACAGCACCGGCCATAGCAGCCATTTGGGGGGTGAACCAACGGAAGGAAGACCTTTCTCTCTGTCTGTCTCTCTCACTGTCTAACTACCTGTCAAAAAAAAAAAAAAAAAAAAAAAAAAAAAAAAAAAACACACACACACAAAACAAAACAAAACAAAAAAACAAAAAACCAGGAGTTGATGGCTTTTATTTTTATTTGTAAAGTAGTAGGTATAATGACCACATTGAAGACAGCAGGAATGGAGAATTCAGGATGGTACACAATATTTAGAGGAAGCACTTTGGAGCATAGAAAAGGACACTCATTAGGACGAACAGATAGCTCTAAGGACACAGTTAAGAATACACTAATGAAGGGCCTGTGCTGTGGCGGGTTAATGCCCTGGCCTGAAGTGCCAGCATTCCATATGGGCACATGTTCAAGACCGGGCTGCTCCTCTTCTGATCCAGCTCTCTGCTGTAGCCTGGGAAAGCAGTGGAAGATGGCCCAAGTCTTTGGTCCTCTGCACCCATGTGGGAGACCAGGAGGAGGCTCCTGGCTTCAGATCAGCGCAGCTGTGGCCGTTGCGGCCAACTGGGGAGTGAACCATCGATGGAAGACCTCTCTCTCTCTCTCTCTCTGCCTCTCCTCTCTCTGTGTAACTCTGACTTTTAAATAAATAAATAAATCTTAAAAAAAAAAAAGAAGAGTACACTAATCAAATTTATAATGGTGGCCGGCGCCGCGGCTCACTGGGCTAATCCTCCGCCTAGCGGCGCCGGCACACCGGGTTCTAGTCCCGGTTGGGGCGCCGGATTCTGTCCCGGTTGCCCCTCTTCCAGGCCAGCCCTCTGCTGTGGCCCAGGAGTGCAGTGGAGGATGGCCCAGGTGCTTGGGCCCTGCACCCCATGGGAGACCAGGAAAAGCACCTGGCTCCTGGCTCCTGCCATCGGATCAGCGCGGTGCGCCGGCCGCAGCGCGCCAGCCGCAGCGGCCATTGGAGGTGAACCAACGGCAAAGGAAGACCTTTCTCTCTGTCTCTCTCTCTTACTATCCACTCTGCCTGTCAAAAAAAAAAAAAAAAATTTATAATGGTTTCAATCTGTTCTGCTAGTGTCCTAAGGAGTCCTGGGGGTAGACATAAAAAAGGTAAAGTCTAGAATGGTGGGAGTTTGCTTGGCAATTTCAAGATAAGGCAATGAAGGAGAAGGAATTAAAAGCACAGGAGATAGAATGGTTAAAATGATTGAAGAGAAGAAATTAACTCTGGAAGGACACTATCCACTGGAATCAAAGCAGAGTTAAGGAAACTGAGCTCTGTGAGACCGGAAAACAGACATGAACATGGAGGACTGTAAAAAGCTTAACGTCAACACCAGGGTTTATTACTTTAGAGGGGAGCAAGTACGTGGCAAAAGTAGAGAGGAAATGAAACTGAAACAGATTGTCCACACAGAAAATGAAGTCAACCAGGGTTATATAAAAATGAAGGCAGAGATTTAGCTTGGGAGCCAGAGTCTGAGTTCTCAGTGAGCAACCAGGTTAGGAGATGCACCAAGTACAAGTGGCAGAGGACAAACGCTCTGTAAACTCTGGAGGCTTAGAGATGACCCACATTTGTAGAAATATGCTGAAATACTGATTTGGAAGATTGATAGTTGCTAAGAAAATGCTGGATTCAGCATCTGTTAGGTTCCTGGCAGTTTCTGTTTACTCTTCTTACCACTCTGCATCTCCCACCTCCCATCTTCCAACACACCCCTAAGAAAGAACACCTTAATGAGCCCCTTTCAGAAGTTGTAGAAAGCTAGGGAAACCATCATCCTTTGGAAAAAAAAAACTAGCAAAGTAATAAAATTTTCATCCTTAGACTAACTCATTCCAGTATTTGGTTATGACTATGGTACTAAGAGTATGCCATTTCCAAGTCTTTGTCAAGAGATGAGGGTATATTCTTTACAATCATGGTTGATAAAAAAGAAAATTAAATTCTCCTTAGATTTAATAGCATGCTAATAACTGGAATATATGCATACTAAATACAAGAAAAATAATATTACTTCATTTTTGCTATTAAATACAATTATGAATTTTTTGAATCCATTACACTACAAAATAAATATATCGCATCCAATAAGTGCTCTAGGTATTAGGTTGTAAATTCAACAGCATAATAAGGATAGTGGAAGGGGTTTGCAGAGTCAGATGTAATGTTTCCCTGAATCTAACTCACTTTGTTCTCATTCTATAGTCATGAAACTCTCTGATTATCAGCTAGGTGTCATTGAATACAGGATGCCAAATGCAGTACTCTAGAGCACAGTTCACAAAATTTTCCATAAGAGGGCACTGTTTTAGTAATCAATGTTATAAACAGTGTGACTTTAAAAAAAAAGAAAAGAAACCTTTTAAAAGGGCGAGACATGGGGCCGGAGCTGTTGCACAGCAGGTAAAGCTGCTGCCTGCAGTGCCAGCATCTCACATGGGCACCAGTTCGCTCGACATCCGATCCAGCTCTCTGCTATGGCCTGGGAAAGCAGTGGAGGATGGCTGGAGTCCTTTGGGCCCCTGCACCCACGTGGGAGACCCAGAAGAAGCTCCTGGCTCCAGATTGGCGCAGCTCCAGCCATTGCGGCCATTTGGGGAGTTTACCAGCAGATGGAAGACCAACCTCCCCCCCACCCCCCCACCCCACCCCCTCTCTCTTTCTTTCTCTACTTCTGCCTCTCTCTAACTCTGCCTCCAAATAAATAAATAAATCTTGGGCTGGCGCTGTGGCATAGTGGGTAAAGCCTCCGCCTGCGGCACCGGCATCCCATATGGGCACCGGTTCTAGTCCCGGCTGCTCCACTTCCAATCCAGCTCTCTGCTATGGCCTGGGAAAGCAGTAGAAGATGGTCCAAGTCCTTGGGTCCCTGCACCAGCGTGGGAAATCTGGAAGAAGCTCCTGGCTCCTGGCTCCTGGCTTCGGATTGGCACAGCTCTGGCTGTTGCAACCAACTGGGGAGTGAACCAGCAGATCGATGACCTCTTTCTCTCTCTCTCTTTCTCTCTCTGTAAATGACTTTCAAATAAATAAATAAATCTTAAAAAAAATCTTTTAAAAAAAAAAGCTAGACAGAACAATAGAAGTTCTGATATTTTCTTTGCAGACTCCAGTGGCCTCCTGTAGTTCTCACTCTATAGAACAGTGCTCTAGAGACAGATATGAGCATTCCTGGCAACTGAAAGGTATAAAAATCATGTAATGGATAAACTAAACCTCAGTAATTCAGCACTAGATGCAGTGATAAAAGCAGATATCTGACCCTTTAGGTGCCATATGTGCTCCCATGACAAAACAGCCCTTAAGAGCAATAGGGGTAGGAAAAGTAGGAAAAGAAGCCTCAACCTAAAAATGCTGATCAGAAGTTTAAACAGGCACATGGAACAATTTCTCCTTCCCTAGCAGCAGAAATCATTTCTTGTGGCCACTTACCTGAATAAAATGTGTTGATTTTGGCAAGTTCCTTTTCACAGGTTTGGAAAAACTTTTCTTCAAACTTGGCAAAATACCTCTTTACCGTGTCTTCATCTGTAACTAAAAAGCAAGGAAAACAATATTTAAATTCAATGTCCAAAGGCAGATGGAAAAAATTAAGGGAATAAAAATTAGTTACTGAAGTGGACATTGTGGCACAGTGCATTAAAATGTCCTTGGATGCCCACAACCATGGTTAGAGTTCTTGGATTTGAGTCCAGGCTCTGCTCCAGATCTGAGTTTCTTTTTAATAATGTGCACCCTGGGAGGAAGCAGGGGATAGCCCAAGGACTTAGGCCCCTGCCACCCACGTTGAGACTCAGACTGAATTCTGGGTTCTAGGCTTTGGCCTGGCCCAGCCTCGGCTGTTGCAGGCATTTGGCAGTGAACCAATGGAGGGAAGATCTCTATTCTCCCTCTTCCTGTGTTTCAAATAAATTAAATAAATAAGTATTAAAGTTATTCAGTTCTTAGTCTTCGACAACTATATATATATATTTTTCTAAAAAACAAACTGTGACCCATTAAGAAACGGTTAATCAAATGCCACTTCAAAGAACACAACCTTTCTTTAATTGAATTTAACCATAAATCTCTTACTATAATAGATCTAAGTGTCAGAGAAATTCTTCTAAAACTTGGAATGAATAAAAACATTACAGACAGCGGTAATCAAGGAAAAGCCCAGGTGCTGGAAGCTGAGCTGAGCAGGCATCACTCAGCAAGGAGTAGACTAACTGTTACAAGAAAAAAAAAATACGGGGTCAGTGTTGTGCAGCAGTTGGAGCGCAAGTTCAAACTCTGGCTGCTCCACTTCTGATGCAGCTTCCTGCTAACACACCTGGGAGCCTATGGAGGATCCAGTATTTGGGGCTCTTCTAGCCATGTGGTTACCAGGAAGGAGTTTGCAAGAGCAAACTATAAAGACATGAATATATAGTATGTTTACAGAAAAAAAAAAAGAATTTATTTTGTCCTATGTTAGACTGTTACCTACTTATTTGTGCTTTAGCTACAGCAGACACAAAGAAAGCAGTGTCTACTGAAGACTGTAAATTAAACGTTCCAAACTTTCAGAAACTGGGAAGGTAACATAAATGAGCTAAGCTGATAACTACACATGTGTAGTGATAAATGGCAACTCATAAAACATCAGGGTAAAGAGTGGTATGGATGCTGGCAAACCAGAAGCATGTATCTGTCTAGTTGCTACCAATGGAGTGCTATGGGGCTACACCTGTCAAATCATCCAGTTTTTTAGGAGAAGCCTTAAATCTGGATATCTTAAAAACATGATGTGGGCCAATCAATATATATTTCTGTAGGCTGGATCTATTTGTGGGTGCTGACACATAATATACCAATTTACTGAATCTCAGTCCAGACAGAAATCCCAGTCTAGACAGAAATTCCAGACCAAAAGTGATATGTTTCTTGCTCAAGTGAGATCTGAATAAACTCTCTAAATGCTAACAATAATAGACAACTATTCCACTTCTGGTTCTCTGTGTCATTCTAAGCTTGAAATGTATAGAAAAGTATAGGTTCCTTTCTGTCTCCCAGATATGCCAAATCTTAGTGCAATCAATCCATGAAGCCCTTATATAATCCACCTTAGGAAAGGAAAATATTATTTCCCTAAATAATATGCAATCACACATGTACATATTCATAGTACCAGCAATATTTTAAAGAAAGACAAAATCTTAAAGTTCTAAAAAGCATGTCACATCTTCATTTTACTTGATTAACACAAATGTAACAAAAAACTGTAAAAAATTTATTTTTATAAATACCTACTTCTCTATCTTACATGCTTTCTACCTGAGCACATGATGCAGGATATTCTATAAATTTTACAGTAAAAAAGAGAAGGCCACTTTAAGTTCCACATGTAAGGTTACAATAAAGGCTGTAGCTGCTCAAAGCTACTAATACTTACTTTTAAAAAGCACAAAATAGGTCCCAGCCTTTTTTTTTTCACAGCTGATCATGCACTAAAGCAAACTCTATGGTAACAGATGTTACTCTCATAACAGAATCTACCTACAGTCGATTTAAAATAAGCTTATTCTCCTTAACTATCTACTTTTTGTATTTTTATTTTATTCTCTATTGTTAATAAAGAAAATCCCAAGGCAATGCATGGACTTGGTCATATTTTCTTTGCTTTCCTATTACAGACAACTTTCATTAAGATAAAGTGATAGAAATGAAGTTGTTCCATAAAGTGATTTAAATATAGTTTCTGCTCTTAAAATAATTTTTAGCATACATGAATGTCTTCACAGACATTACACATTCAGCAACACTGACTATATAAAATATTGCCAAAAACTTAGAAACATAAAAACTTCAGGCCTCTGAGATACTGAAACATGTAATAAATTTTATGTATTAAGGCATGAACATTCCGCCATGAACAACTCTCTTACGAATTCATCATTTCCTCGGTTTAGGGACTGGCTTATCTAAAATACCAGCAGCCTATTATCTGTTTCCTACTTCACATGTAACTTAACAGCAACCATCAGAAGAGGACAGAGTAAGGTTAGAGCAATACTAAGAAATAATAGCTCACAGAGAGAAAAAGGGGAAAAGCCATAAATAAAAACAGCAAATAGCTGCAAAAGAAACTAGATGAAGGACAACATTCTTGTCCTCTCTGATTTCAAGACATGAAAAATTGCTACAAGCAGAAGCTCACAACTGGTAAAATTAGAAAACCACAACAAAATGAACAGAATACAATCCAGAAGCACCCACAGATTTGCTTATATTATTTAGGGAAGTTCAGACTAAAACAAAGAGGCTTTCAATCAGTGAAGAAAGGAATGGACTGCACAACACAAAGGGATGGATCAACTGATCATCATTTATTCTAAAATGGAGTTAAAGAAATATTATAAAGTACCAAAAATGTAAATAACTCTACACGGGGAACCCATTCTTAAATGCTATAGAGAACACTCATCCCATTTTTTTTTCTTGACAGGCAGAGTGGACAGTGAGAGAGAGAGAGACAGAGAGAAAGATCTTCCTGCCGCTGCGGCCGGCGCGCTGCAGCCAGTGTACTGCGCTGATCCGAAGCCAGGAGCCAGGACCCAAGGACTTGGACCATCCTCCACTGCCCTCCCGGGCCACAGCAGAGAGCTGGACTGGAAGAGGAGCAACCAGGACAGAATCCAGCGCCCAGACCGGGACTAGAACCCGGGGTGCCAGCACTGCAGGCGGAGGATTAGCCTATTGAGCCGTGGCGCCAACCACTCATTCCATTAAGATAATGATTTACATTTTCACAAAATGAAAAATCTCCATTCCATAATATACAATAAGCAAAGTCAAAAAGAGAAGCAGAAGATAGGGAAAATACATATATGTAACATTTAAAAGAAAAGTGAAGATGGTCCAAATGTTCACTCATTTGCTCTATCTTCCTCATCACTGGAACTCTTTCAAACAAATAAATAAATCTTTAAAAAAAAGAGAGAAATTTACATGCAAAGCACATTTTTGAAAAATCTTACAAATCAATACTAAAAGATTCTTTTAATTTACACAAGGTGAACACATTTCATGCACTTCATGTATACAGGTTTAGGAGCACGGGGATATTTCCCACCCTAGCCTCCCTGCAGCCCACACTCCTACCCTCCCTCCTCTTTCCTTTCTTATCCTTTCTTTTAATTTTTACAACCACATAATTTCAGTTTATTTTATAATCCTAAACTTAATCCTCTACTAAGTAAAGAATTCAACAAATAGTAGGAATAAAAACACTGCTCCTCAACAGTAGAGACATGGACTGTAAACAAAAATCAATTCTCAAAATGGTAATTTTACTCATATACATCACATTTTTTTATATTCCATTGGCTACCACAGAACAGGGAAAACATTATATTTTGTCTTTTTGGGACTGGCTTATTTTACAAAGTAGAATGGTTTCCAGTTATATTCATTTTGTTGTAAAAGACAGGATTTCATTCTTTTTTACAGCTCAATACAATACAATATTCCATAGTGTATCTACACCATTTGTTCTTTACCCAGTCACTGGTTGATGAGCACCTGGGTTGATTCCATATCTTAGCTATTGTGAATTGAGCTGCAATAAACAGGGGGGTACAGATCACTCTTTCATGTGCTGATTTCAGGATGTCAGGGTCACGTATGACAGATCTATTTTCAGCTTTCTGAGGAATCCCATACTGTCCTCCACAATGGCTGTTCTAGTTTACATTCCCACCAACAAGTGGATCAGGGTACCTTTTCCTCACATCCTCACCAGCTTTTACTGTTTTTTGATTTCTGTATGATAGCCATTCTAACTGGGGTAAGGTAAATCCCTACTGTGGTCTTTATTTGAATTTCCCTGAAGTCTAGTGATCCTAAGCATTTTTTCATGTGTCTGTTGGCCATCTGAATTTCATCTTTTGAAAAATGCCTGTTCAAGTCCTTTTTGGCCATTTCTTAACTGGACTATTTGTTTTGTTATTGAGTTTCTTGAGCTCTTTAGAAAATATTTCCAAATCATGCAATTGATAAAGGATTAATATCTAGAATCTATAAAGAGCTCAAGAAAATCAACAAAGCTATTTAATTCCACAAGAAAAATGGGCAAATTAGAGAAATTCATGGAGAAATACAAGTAGATAGCAAACAAAAAGATGCTTAATATCCCAGATGCCATTTTAATACAACTTTTAAAACTGAAAAAAAATTTTAACCATTAGCCTGGGAGCGATTTTAAAATCACAACATCATTTGGCAATGGTCAGGGTAAGTGAACATTTTCATTCCCAGTTGAATGAAACGTAAGTCTGTAAAGCTTTTTAGGAAGACAAATTTGGCAGAAGCTTTCAAAATTTTCAGTCATTTCAATCCTAAATGTAGGAAATATAAAGGAATCTCTGCATAAATGCATGGATTTGCAGTGATGTTTTTAACAGTGACAAAGAAAACAAATTGATGTCCAGCAGAAGGAAATGGTTAAGTAAATTATGATAATATTATTTAATACTATATAGTCAATTTAAATCATAGACATAAATCCTGGT